TGTTTCACACCTTGATGTTTCTTAGTCATCGAACACTACAAACTGTTGTTGGTATCAACAAAAAGCCCATAACACTTCCTACTGACATCCATAATAGTGACAAATGTCTCAGTACTTGCAATCCATATTTGTACTCGACCATTTTGTTCACCATCATCGATATAAATATCACCATTTGGTGTTACGAAGATAGAGAAGGGGTCCCAGACGCCGCGTGATATATTCTTAATTGGCGTAGTACTATTTTCATCCCATATCAAGATCGTATCTGTCTGTCGATCACCGATAAAGACTGTATTATTTGTATTGATAAATATGGCAGCAGGATATTCACCAACTACTGATTGATTGGCAAAAGTGAATGCATATTTGTTCCAGGCTGCTGTTGGACAGAATTTTGGTTGATTGAATGAAACAGCTAAGAGAAAATAAACAAACACACATCATAATCTAAGAAAAATGAGAACTATTCTTTTTTTTGTTACAGATTTCTTTCTAGCGTTGCGAAATATATCTATTATAACATCACTGTATCCGTTATAATAATATTTTTTGCTAACTTTTGTTGCTGTGTTATGAAAAAAAGAATATTGTCTTATTTAGACTAAGAGAACGATTAACATGATTTTAGTAGCACTAATAGATGAATACAATACAAATCAAGATGACTATTAATACAAAGATATATATCATTAAATAAAACATTCCGTTATTGTTCTTAGCATCTAGCTTTTAATCTTCAAAACTTATTTTTTTCTATCATTAGAAAAGAATTCAGCATTCTGCAACTTTTCTTGTCATGTATCAAATTAAAAAAAGCTCTAATCCTTGAAGTATCAGCGTGCCCTGCAAACCACACTTTTTTTAAACTTGACATACTCTGAATAAAGCACAAACACGAAACAAATCGAGCTGCACTTGCACTATCATGCACAAGACATATAGATATTTTAATTCACACAGGATTTATTACTTTAAAATCCTCTCAGACCCACCGTGTTAAATATACTCTGAACACTCTAGGTTTA